GATAACAAAAGATGATAGTGAGAATAACCTGCCTTCTGCTTTAGAGCAGAGGGTGTCTGGAGTGAGGGGGTGTGTCTGTTCCCATTAGGCATGCACAGGGATCTAGATTTTGCAGGGCACTGAGATTACAGAAGACATCTACAGATATTAAGAGTGCTTGCACCTGATCTCACTTTGCAGATAGATTTATAAAGATCTTTGAAGCATTCTTTTTCTTCTTCATATAAAGTGCTATCTTTTGGAACAAAATTATCTACATTTATACTTGGGGATTTGAAGTTTGTTTTATACTGATGTATGAAAAAATTTCAAAAATACATCAAAGAACAACTTATCCTAAGTGAAGAAATGTAATGCATTTAGGCTAAAAACAACAACAAAAAAGTCTTATTAGAGCCATAAGTATCCAACCCAGATTTTAGAAGTAAGCTTCCAAGTATGAATCTTTAGGTAAGGATGGAATTTTTCCTGTTTGTTTTCTAAAAGCAGCTGGTCAAAGGCCACGATGAAGGGCTATGGAGAGTGACTAAAAGCCAGGTGCTTCAGGAGTGTTCACACACACACACACACACACACACACACACACACACACAAACACACACACACACACACACCACTGATATACACAGACTCACGATTCCATAGTCAAATACGCACAGTAACACATATAAACTTTAGACAGTGTTAAAGTTTAGTCAGCTTCATAGGGGGAAAGCTAAGCATTAAAGTTGGTTGTCATTAAAATGACCTCCAAGTAAAACGCTGATAGAAGTGTTCAAGGTAATCGGTGTTTCTAAGATCCTTACTACCTGATGGTAAATATGGGGAGTAAGGAAGAAGAAAAGAATAAGATGGATAGCCTTCTGCTTGGTATTACAACCTTTCTGTGGAAACTAGAGCAGAGCTAGCAGGCACACAAGCCTCCACAACACTAAATCCACTCCATCAAAACTCATCTAAGGACACATCAAATCCAAACATCCCCCAGCCCTCCCCACGTCAGTGGATTCCACACTATTGCATCACCATATTCCACATTCTCATCTGTTGCTAGGTACCCTGGGCATCTCTGTTCACCCAAGCTCCAAGTGCTGTTTTTTTCTTCAGACTTAATACAGAGTCTTGATTCAGATGCTATGGTTCCTAAACTGAATCCTTGAGAGAAGACCCATCAGCCTTGATTGAGTATCCGAAGCTCCTCCCCTCCATACCCACTACAATTCAAAACACCTTTCTCAGTCTAGCAGCCTGTCATTCACACCAGCATCCAAGGTGGATGGAGCAAACTGCATTGGGTAAGAAGGCAGAGGACTCCTCGAAAGCAATGAATTGGTCTTGGTTAGGATAAACTGCAGACTATAAGATTTGCTAATGTGGTTGAATGAGGCGAGACAATAAAAATTTGCTAATTTACCCTCTATTTAATGTTTATTCAGTGCTCTATGTTGATTTATCTAAATGAAAACCTCTGAAATTTGTTTCAAAATTGATTTTTTAAAAATTTTATGCTGAAATGTTACCTTTAATCATTTTAATTACAAGATATGTAAGTATATCTTATACAAATAAACATAGTTTACTGATTTGTTCTGTAAAGCATATTGATTTACTTAGGAATCAAATATGTAAAGCTATTGAGTTTAGTTACCTTGGTAACATCTGGAGTGAACTACTCCATCTAAAAATATTTCTCACATTGCTTATATTTTATGTGAAATTATAATTAAATGATATTTGTAAAAGATTCTCCAAAATGGTAATTCTCATCCAACCTAATATATAAATAAGTTTATCAGTGTATTACCTATTTATTATGATCTCAGATTAAACAAAAATATAGTAGGTTTAATTTTTAACTATAATAGAAATTTAATTTGCTTTATGCTAGCATGGATTTGGCTTAAAATGTAACACATATTATGTTATGTATTTGATATTGGTAAAAATTTCTTACAGGGAATGTCTGATATATTTTTAGAGGATTCTAGTGAACAAAAGTTAGAACATGTGTTTATAAGTGAAAACAATTATATTTAAATATGTCCATGGTGCTCTCCTTTAGATTTTCTTTGAATGAAATAACAACACAAAATAAATAACCCATTGTGAATTGGCATAAATGCTTCAGTTAGAATAAAATAACACACATTTTTCAAATTATTTTTTAAAATTTTTTATTATTTTATTTTACAATATAATTTAATTCTATATATCAGCCACGGATTCCCTTGTTCTCCCCCCTCCCACCTACCTCCCCTTCCCCCCAGCCTAACCCCCCATTCCCACATCCTCCAGGGCAAAGACTCCCCTGGAGATTGAGTTCAACCTGGTAAACTCAGTCCAGGGAGGTCCAGTCCCCTTCTCCCAGGCTGAGCCAAGCGTCCCTGCATAAGCCCCAGGTTTCAAACAGCCAACTCATGCACTGAGCACAGGACCCGGTCCCATGGCCTGGATGCCTCCCAAACAGATCAAGTCAATCAACTGTCTCACCTATTCAGAGGGCCTGATCCAGTTAGGGGCCCCTCAGCCATTGGCTCATAGTTCCCTAATTATCGTGCTAGAAACCCCATCCATTGACTAAGGGAACTGGATACAGAAATCCATGGCCAGGCCCTGGGTGGAGCTCCAGGAGTCCAATTGGCGAGAAAGAGGGTTTATATGAGCGAGAATTGTTGAGACCAAGGTTAGATAAAGCACAGGGACAAATAGTCAAATTACTTTTTTTTTTTTTTTTTTTTTTTTTGGTTTTTCGAGACAGGGTTTCTCTGCGTAGTTTTGCGCCTTTCCTGGAGCTCACTTGGTAGCCCAGGCTGGCCTCGAACTCACAGAGATCCGCCTGGCTCTGCCTCCCGAGTGCTGGGATTAAAGGCGTGCGCCACCACCGCCCGGCTAGTCAAATTACTTTTATAGGTCATTTTCTTTAAATCCGTATTAGAAAATAATACGTTTCATTGTTTAAAAGTTGGTTTTGTTTTCAAATAAATAGCTGTGAAAACTACCATTATGTTGTTTGGGACAGTCTCTTGAGCATTTCTGTGTATATATTATTTATTCATAAACTGGGTTTGATTAGAAATATAAACTGTGTAATGAAGTGTAATTTTCCATTTAAATATGTTCTAACTTTTACACAAAACTGCTTTAAATTATTGTTTATGTCATTTTATTTGTTTGTTTATTTATTTATTTAAGTTCATTAAGTACATTTTCTTGCCTTCCATCCTGGGACCCTGGTGTCCATCCTGGGACCCTGGTGTCCATCCTGGGACCCTGGTGTTCATCCTGGGACCCTGGCTGTCTCATTTCTTCTCTTCACTCTTCTGTTCTTATTTCTCTCCCTGCCTACCCCAGCCTTCAGAGATGCCAACTTTGATGGGTTCCGATTCTTTTAACTGATTCCTCTCAACTTTCCTTCCGCCCCCTTCTTACCACTGTCCTCACAAAAGTCCGAGTAACGTCTATAAAACAGAATTTTATAGTCAGGTGTGTGTGGCATAGAGAATATCATCTCATAAAGCAAAACGACATGAGAAAAATCTTCTTTCTGTCCCCTCCTTGCCAATTCCATGTCACCCCCCCCCCAAACAGATCTAACATGCTGAAGTTTGCTCCGAGTGAGGACCCAGCCCTTTAACAGGCACACCACTTTTCTTTTCCTGTTCTGTGTTAGCTACTCACCATGATCTCTTACAGCGCCTTTGCCCTAAGTAACCTTCTGCCCATGACGTTGCCTGGGCTCACCTCCCTGCAAGTAAGATTCCCAAGATGTTCACCTGGCCGGTGTTCTTTATCTATAGGAGTTCAATTCATATTACCATAATTCCAGAAGTCTTTGTTTCTTCCCCTGGATAGGAAGTGCATTTGTCTGTATTGTGTTTACTTTTCTGTCCCTTTAGTTATTTGTGAACTCACTGGAAGCAGAGTCTTTATAGGCCAAGTATTTATATACATACTGGATAGAGAGGAGGCCTAAAAGAAATCTTTTGAATAAATAAGTAAACAGACCTGTTTTAGAGTTTCAGTGTGTATTTCTATGAATGGAATTGATTAAAAACATTAACTATTCCATTACACCCTACAAAACAATGCATATTTCATGATATCCAGAAGTGTGCAAAAATCACAGTGTATTTTATTCCTCTTATTTATTTATATTACTATAGTTAAGAATAATTAATACCCTTTAAAAAAAACAGCTTCTCATATCTGTTCATACCCTTTGTAGACTATGGTAAAGTTGACATAAGAAAAATAGAACGTAATTGTTTTATGTAAATTTTGTCTGTGTATTTTCTTTTTATACATTGAAACAAAATCAGCTACCCGAGTAGCTTTTCCTGTCAGTACTTCATGAACCACATTTTCCTAAATATTAAAATGAAGTATGAGTAGATATATAATATTCTAATTATTTCTCTTATTAGCACACTTTTCTATTTTTGTAAATATTTGCCTTTTCTAAATCATTATGCTATTCAGCTCCACACTGATACACATGTGTTTTTAACTTCACAGAGCTGCATGCAAAGATTAAACCATCTACACTTAAAAGTCATTAACATGTACTTCCTGGGACAAAGATTATGTATGAGTGGTTTTAATATATTTTACTTAATACTTAATACTTAATACCCATGAAGCATATAGCAATGTATCTACCTGGTTAATTGTGAATTGCCCCCAAGCCTGAATATTCTTAATGGAGGAGTCAAATCGATTTGCAAAACAATTGCTAATTATATCATTTTTTGTTAAGTTGACTTTTCTTTCAGATTGCTTTTGATATTGAACTATGTTCTTTTTAATTTGATATCATGCCTATGTTTTAGTGTGTGTACTAGATTAAAACAATAATTGCTGCTTCCAAACGAGGTTACTGCTTAGTTAAATTACATTTCTGAATAAAATCAGAAGCATATTGCTGCGTATCTATCAAAACTTAGCACTAGTTGGAGATTATCTAGCATATTACTCAGACTACACATCTTTCTTCCTAACAGATGACTCTGCTGCAGAGAGCTTTAATGGCAATGAGACTCTGGGGCACAGCTCAGTTGCTTCAGGGGGAGCTCATGTCAGGGAGCCTGGGGACTCCAGCAGTGATGGCAAAACTGGGCTGGAGCAGGAGGAACAGCCACTGAATCTGAGCGACAGCCCCCTCTCTGCGCAGCTGACTTCAGAATACAGGATAGATGAGCAAGGCAGTAATGGGAAAAGCAAGTTTAAGAACCTTCTAATCTCTGACCTCAAGATGGAAGGAGAAGCAAGAGAAAACGGAAGCAAGGTAAGACTCGATTACAATCACTGGATGGTTTGTGCAAGGTCATGCATATCAAGACGAAGCACACATACACATTACTAATAAGCTCATAATTATGCATCCTGTGTGTTCACAAAACATTATGTCAGGAGTAATATAACCAAGTGAACTGTGTCTCAATGATGTGGGTATTATTTGATATAGGAAGTGTTTGATTTGATGAATTTCATTTCTATAATCTACTTATGGATCAGTCCCTGGGAATTTGCCAAGTACAAGTGTGAAACGTTTAGTCTCAGTTCACAATTTTGAACAGTCATAGCATCAATTTCTTATTTCTCTAGACTGGATAGGTGAATGGGCAGTAAGGTTTCAATTAAATTCTCCAGTTTGCTTTGGAGACCTGGGGGCTTCATCACTAATTTGCTTTAGGGATGCTAAAGAACTGTGAAGTGTCAGTGTTCAAGTTGGAATTTGTAGATTAAATATGTACAGAAAGATGTAATGGATCCCAAACCTCTTTCAGACATATTATCTAATTTCTAGATGGTTATATTAAAGTAAATTACAACCTCGCTATGCTCAGGTTAAAACATTTTAATCTTTGAAAGTATCTATACTGGAAATCCTGCTTTGTTCATTTTAAAGAATCAATTTCTTCTATAGATGTCAATCAACTTGTTAGCATCTTAGTCCAGCTCATCAAGTTGTGCTGCAGAGAGGATATCCAGCTGTCATCAGAGAATATAAAGAATGTCATTTTCAAAGATGCAGCACTTTGGACAGAACTGAGAATTTTATGGCATTCTTCATTGTTGATGTCCTTGATTCTTCCAGACCATTAACATCTAGTTGTAGACCTGGCTTTTGACATGATCCTGTAAGCAAAATGTCTCAACCTGGATTAATTTTGTAGTTCAGGCACTATGCTTCTGAAATTGGCTCTATTTAAATCTCCTCGTTGCCCGAGGGTGTTCTGTTTTATCCTCTTCAGGCGAGTCACTTGACATTATAAGACACTTAAGCTCTTCTGCCTGAGGGAGACTGCTACCACGTTTACCCTGGTAAATGCATAAATACATTCTTTGGTGGTTCAAAGTTAGATCACACAGCACAGGAAATGTTCTACTTGCTATCATTTGAATCATTGCATACATCTTATAAAAGAGAATGACGCATTTTTCTTCATTCTATAGTATCTTGCCTTTAAAAAGCCTAGATAACCACAAAACATGTATATGAATATAATTAGGACAGTTTGCTTGTCATCACGATAATTCTGAATTTTAAGATTTGGGGGCTCTAAGCATGCATAAGATCACTCAATTTTAGGACCTCCCTTTAACTCCACAACCATCTTCATGAAGTTAAAGTTTTCCTAATTCAGCATTGGACTTTATCTTTACTTCTCTAATAAAGACATCACAAAAAGGATCAACAGTGGCAGAGCTTTCACTGCCTTTTTCAACATAGCCTGAAATAAATTTGTTAAATTTTATTTTCATGTCACTTAATAGCACATCTGGGTGCATGGTTTCCATCTTCTTTGAGATTTGTGGGACCTTCAGGTTCTAAACATGCCAGGACACCCATATCTGATTCTTGAAAGGGCAAACCACCACTGATAGTCTTGACCACTTGACCGTCAATCAGGATCTGCCAGTTTTTTGTTCATAAAATGCCTTTCATCATGGTTAAGATCCATGCCACAGAAGTTCGGTAGATTTTGTCTCAAACACACTCAGTAATTAGCTTAAATTTCTAAATGCAACATCTTTTTCCAGACAAACAAAGCACAGAGCAAAACAGGACTTGTAAGGGTATTTTGTCCAATTATGGTTCTCTGTGACTTCTGGGTCTTATGTTTCTTACGTTGACCATATCTAGTTCATTCACATTTTACTAACCTTTCTTGGAACAATCATCTTCTTGGCTCCATTTTTGGCTCCTAGTTAGGGCCCTTGTTCTCCCTTGGTACTGTTTAGAGAGCCCAAAAGCAAACTCTTCTTTCTATTGTGTGTGTTTACTGAATCTTATGTCTAGAATTATCCTTGGTTTAGTCTTTTCTTCTTTTTCCCTCTTGGTCATTTTTACATGGATCTGGATCAAATCCAGAGAGGTTCAAGGTGACTCCCACAGGGGAGTATAAGCTGCATCCCAGAAAACAGACTCTCTTGGTTGTTCTGATCTGGAGTCCCCAGTCTCATGTCTGTCTCCTCTTTGCAGGGGGGAGAGGGAATCACCCAGGAGTGCTTTACTCATTAAATCTAGCCTTTCTGATTTGGTCTGATTCGGTTTGCTGTGTTGTTGAAGAGGCCTTCAGGAGGACTAAGACTTATCAGGGATGACTTCCTAACATTTGAAGACCTTGTCATTGTTATGCAAGATAAATTATGGGCATAGTATTTATTTCCCAAATACTTGTTGAAGGTTCTGCCTCCAAAGTATTATTACAGAAATCGAAAACATGTAAGTGTGCCACGGACTGGCCCACCGGGAGTACCACGACCGTAGGAGAATCAGGGCTTGGGTAGTCAGGAAGGCAAGGATTCGGCGACTGACAGACAGACAACAAACACACTCAAAAGTGGTTTGAATCTGCTGCAACTTTACTTCTGTAAATCAGTAGTTTATATACAGAAAAGAAAACTATCAAGTCATACAGGGAACAACAAGAGCTTGGCAATAATTTAATTACATCATCTTTAAAAAACATCAAGCACATAGTTACTAATCGGCGCTAGACATATCCCTTCATTCGCAAGAACTTTATGACCTAAAGAGCAGTCTGTGTTTTATAAACTTAGTACAGTCCCTAGACTTGTGAAGGCTTCTTTGTGGTTGTGGCTGTGTCCTTTATCTTTATCTCAGCCGCTCTCTAGTTTATTATGAACTTTTACTTTTCTGGTTCTCATGGCCCATTTAGCCAATTTTGATGCTGCAGATCCTCCCTAAGTATTTCTTCAGTTTTTTACCATATATCTTTTCTAATATAAAACTTTTTTACCTGTTGGAATATGGACTCTTGTACTTTTACACCTGTCAGGGGAAGGAGTTCTGCTGTAGTCCTTAAGTTTCTCATGCTGAACTTCCTAAACAGAGGGGCCCACCATCTACCTCCTATGAAATAATGTTTTTTGTCATAAATCTCTTTAGTTGGGATTCCTAAAGGATTCCTAGTGGATGAGTGTTCATTCCCTAGAAGTGCATGAACTATTATACTTTCTATTATCTAGCAGCTTGAGGCTTGAGGTCTTTAAGGAATAGTTCATTCTGCTATATCTAAATAAGGTCCATGTCCAGCTTCCCCTTTTCTCCATAGTTTACAACCCAAGCATTCATTAATTTTGGCTGTGTTTTATAGATTAATTAGAACATTATCAGAAAAGCAGTTATACAGAACCCATAGCCCAGAGAGCTCATGATCTGTGAAGCACGTCTCCTTCGAGAAGGAGGCATAACACGGGCACTCTGTCAGGGACCTCCAGGGAGCTTAGTCCCGTGGGACACGTATCTCTCGTCCGCTATTATTGACATAATTGTTCATGTCACACGGACGACACTGGAGTTGGTGTGGCATTTCCCCGTTTTTTGTTTTTAAGACGCAGCTCCAGCAGATCACGCCTCACTGTGTGTAGGGAACGTAGGATAATTTTAAAAAGACAAGGAAATAATAACACAACCAAAAGAAAATAAGAATCAATACCCCAATGAATGCAAAGTATTGTGTCCAATCTAGAGGATTTAAGAGAGTGGACATCTGATTCAAGATCACGAGCTAAGGCATCCAAAGAGCCATTCTCCAAATGAGCTTTACTCATAGCAGTGATATCTTTTTGTAAAGCTTCCATGTTATGAGTGGTATCTGAATCTTTTCAGACTCCTTGTAGATGATTTTTTACCTTTTTCCAACTTTGACTAGCGTTATAAGGCAGAGGAGTGACACAGATATATTAATATGTAGCATGATACCTAGTCTCTAATCTATTCTGAATATTAACCAAATCCTGTCCAAGAGCCAGTACCACTTCTTTTAATACATTAATCTTTGTTTCTAATTTCTTATCTATAAGGGACTGTTCTGACAAAGCCAAAGTAACATTCTTGTTCAATTCATTAACAAAATGAGCAGTATGGATTTCTTGCACTAAGGTGGTGGTAGCTACAGCAAAGGTGGTAATAATAGCTATTAAGGCAGATATGCCTAAAATTAATGCAGCAACAAATCTCTTAGGTCTAATAAGTGCATGTAATCTTTTTAATATCTGTAAAGCAGAATTTTTATACCAATCCTCCATCAGATCAACAGGCAACATAACATAAGGTGGTCTCTTAACTAAAATCATAACTGATAATTCCTTATCTAAAGTTGAATCAATGCAATTGGTCAAGCGACATGTATGACAAAAAATCCTATAAGAACCATCTACAACAGTAATATCTACATGCATAGGATGACCAAGTAATATAGCAAAGGGATAGCTTACACATGAGCGAACAGCATAAGGAATAGAAACTGTTTTATTAGGCCTTTTTTGAAGAATAACATTAGCACTGGCAGCCAATCTAAATAAATGAGGGGTATAAGACCAAAAACTGTCTCCATTGATGGAGTGCGCCTGAGCTGCAAGGATAGATAAAAGAGCAAGAAAAATAAATTCAGGGGTCTGTGGCTTATTCTGTGTGGTCACAAGTTCCGTGGCCTGTTGAGTCAGATTCTTTAATTGTGTCCAAGTTGGTAGGCTCCGAGGAGTCAGCGAAAGGTGTTATAGTTTTTTTTTTGTCTTTCTCCGCTCTTGTTTTTGTTTTTTTCTCTTGTCTTCTCGAGAGGAGCCGGTGGGACAAGCTGATCTGGGATCCAGACTGGAGAGTTGGCATCCTGAGGAAAAAACACATGCATATCCTCTCCCAGAGGAAATTAAGACACCCAGACCTTTCCAGGTGCCGGGTTAACAGGTCTTTTTTACATTACTTTTGAGAGGGCCGTATTTTTTGGTCCTCCCCAATGAATCATAGCTGGGGAA